ACTTGTTTTCATTTTAGCTTTTTTTTTGAATTTTTGATTTTTTTACATTTACAGCCATCAGCTGGCTGTGTACTTTGTGCTTGCAAGCCTCTAAACGCACCCTTTCTAGTGCACTCGTTTCTTCATTTTCTTTGATGCATGCTTTTATTTGAAATAATGAAAGTAATGAAAACTTTGAGATCTTTAAGATTACATTTATCTTTAAGCTTTCTTCATTGTGTGCACTTTGAGCTGTTCAAACGCATCACATCTAGCGTACAGAGCTCTTTTCATGTATATACTTTGTGCTCACTGGTTAACGCACCCCAATCTAGTGCATTAAATTCTTCATTTACTGGAAGTAGAATGGAAAATTCTGTGCACTAGAAAGGGTGCGTTTTAGACATGGGCATCGGGTCGGGTCGCGTCAAAAGTGACCCGCTGACCCGACCCGGGAAAAATTTTTGACTTGACCCGACCCGCTTACCCGACCCGCTTACCCGACCCGCTTACCCGACCCGCTTACCCGACCCGCTTACCCGACCCGCTTACCCGACCCGCTTACCCGACCCGCTTACCCGACCCGCTTACCCGACCCGCTTACCCGACCCGCTTACCCGACCCGCTGACCCGACCCGCTGACCCGACCCGCTTACCCGACCCGCTTACCCGACCCGCTTACCCGACCCGCTTACCCGACCCGCTGACCCGACCCGCTGACCCGACCCGCTGACCCGACCCGCTGACCCGACCCGCTGACCCGACCCGCTGACCCGACCCGCTGACCCGACCCGCTGACCCGGCCGCCAAAACTCGAAAATGGACAGTGCGTTTAGGGTAAAAAGTACACTAGCGGTTTATACTTTCGCAAAAGTCAATTATCTGTAAAATTATATCTAACGTATTTTCTCTAATAGTAGTGCACCCTGAGCTTCGTCTAAATTCCTCAAAATCTCGAGAACCGCTTATCAGAACCTATCGATGTGGGGTCGGGAAATGTAGCTGACGATCAGATCTTGTGGGGAATCTGAGTGTTGAGCTTCTGCAAAAGCTTGGAAACCGTAAAAAAAACCGTAACCTTACCAACTCGGCTCGCCGCGGTGCACTACTATTAGAGAAAATAGGGTATTTCTTTATGTAATTATATTCAAAAGGTTCAATGCTCACGAAATTCTCCATTTTCATTTTCAAAAGTGATTTTGTTTTTCCGAAAAAAGAAATTTGTTCTCAAAATAATGATGCTTCAATTCATTGGATTTTTTTTTTCGTGACCACCATTCATTTCCGATAGACACAAAAAAAAAGAGAAAAGAGAGGAGATTTTCGGAAAAAATCTCAACAATTCTGTAAAATTTCAAAGTTTTGTTAGTTTTTTTTAGTTTTAAGTGTAAAATTTCGAGTTTCACTGTTGATTTTCACCGGAAATTGCTCGATTTGTGTTTTTGATTCGATTTTGATTGCATTTTGATTCGATTTGGTTTGGATTTTGTTTGGATTTTGACGAGAATTTTCGAGTATTTTTTTTTTGATTTTTATAAGTAGATGAAGGGGATTTTCTTTATAGATTCTTTGAGTTTAGAAATTTTTCATTAGAAGGGCTTTGATGTGTTGTTTATTCACCGGGAAATTGATAGATTTGTGTGTTTTTCTTTTTTGATCGGCTTTTGATCATTCTTAATTTGATAGGAGTCGGGATATCGTAGGGATAAATTTAATCGCTGAAATGATTGAGTGACGCTTTTTGAGCTGGATCGTTTACTTAGAAAGCCGAATTTCTTCATTTCTTTTCAGATTTCAGATTTCAGACAAACTAAACTAATTGAATTCGCATTTTTTTGAACATTTTTTTTGAATACTTTTATTTTATTATTTATTTTATTTTATTTTATTTTAATTTATTTTATTTTATCTTATTTTAAAATAGTTAAATCTTAGTTAAGCTTTGCCATTTTCCATTTTGCCATTTCCATTGCCATTTTCACGCTGGCAAGATAAAGCAAGCTCACAAGATCACAAGATCACTTTAACAACCAACTAGATCTTATCGTCAGCTACATCTTCTGACCCCACTTCCATCTCAATTCTATTGATTCAATGCATATACCGTATTTTCTCTAATAGTAGTACACCGCGGCGAGCCGAGTTGGTCACTATTTTACAGTTTCCAATTTTTCCCAGAAGCTCAACACTCAAATCCCCACTAGATCTCATCGTCAACTACATTTTCCGACCCCACATCGATAGGTTCTGATAAGCGGTTCTCGAAATTTTGAGGAATTTAGACGAGGCTCAGGGTGCACTACTATTAGAGAAAATACGGTACTTGGCCAGCTGGCCGATTCGTTAAGGAGCCTCGTCTCTTAAGCGGAAGGCCGAGGGTTAAATCACGCTGGCACGATGAGGCAAGATCACAAGATCACTTTAACATTTTACGGGTATTTAAATACCGTATTTTCTCTAATAGTAGTGCACCCAGCCGAGTTGATGACTATTCTACAGTTTCCAAGTCTTCCCAGAAGCTCAACACTCTAATCCCCCACAAGATCTGATCGTCAGCTACATTTTCCGATCCCACATCGATAGGTTCTGATAAGCGGTTCTCGAGATTTTGAAGAATTTAGACGAAGCATAGGGTGCACTACCATCAGAAAAAATACGGTAATATTAAAAATCGATTCAAACAAACAATTTTTAATATAAATTTCAGAATTAATAAAAGTTAAGTTATTTTACTAGATCTAAACTAAAAAAAAGTCAATTTCTTTTCTAAAACCAAATTTTTAAGCTCTATTTTTTGAACAAAACGTTTTCTGAAAAAAAAAAACTCAAAAAACTTGTCTTTCTTATATGAAGATTATCGCTTTTCTTCAGCTCAATTTTCTCCAAACCATAATCCGAAGGGGATTTTTAGTGGAAAGAGAAAAGAGAAATCGAGGCTGAAATCTGAGCTCTTCTCTTCCGATGTTTTTTTTTTCCCTTTTTTCCTTTTTTCCTTTTTCGCAACGCGCAACCATTATTGTTTCTTTGTGTGGATTTGAGAATGAAAAAGTTGAAAATATCTCTAGATATTCTAATTCTTTTATCTTTTTTTTGATATATAATAAAAAATATCTTTAGATATTCTATTTCTTTAGATATTTGTCTTTTTTTTGTTTATTTTTGAACATGTGTTCTTTTTTGTGCCACTCAAATGTGGAGAACGATCATTTTTCACAAAATAAGACAAATTTCTCGATTTTCTGCTTGTTTTCATTCTTAAAGAGTTGAAAATCTGATACTTTTCTTATTTTTCTTATTTTTCTTATTTTTCTTATCTTTTTTTCTTTCCTTTATTCTTTTATTATTCATTTTAACATTTTAAAGCTTACTTAATCAACTAAATAAACGATTTTGGTAAGTTTAGTTGAAAAAACTTGTTCTTTATGCTTTTCAAATTTCTAAACGCTTCAAATTCTAAAGAACCTATCGATGTGGGGTCGGAAAATGTAGCTGACGATGAGATCTTGTGGGGGATTTGAGTGTTCTTTATGCTTTTCAAATTTCTAAACCACGCACTTGTTGTTTCAAAAATTCTTCTTGAAACAATTTCTTAAAATGATTCAGTATTATCAGTTGAAAATTCTGACCGATAGTTGGAAACTGTTAAAGTTTCTGTTAAAGAATCGAATGAAAGTTCTAATGAGTCACTTAACAGTTAAAGAGTGAGAGCTAAAGCAGAACATAAACTCTAACCTCAAAGTAATAGCGGCTCTTACATAGCTACGAACCTTTAAATACCGTGTTATTCTGGTAAATCGAGGAATTAACAAATTGAGGAATCTAGTGCATTAGAAAGGCAAGTTTTTGTCAGAATATAGCACAAAGTACACCGTTGATCAACTGTAAATTACCACAACCTTCCACACTTTCAGTAAAGGATTATTCCAAGAATTTTCCCTAACCAGGGCCAGAAAACTGGCCTAGAGTGCTGGTTATAACTCTAATCTCGTTTACAGCTCAAAACTTTTGAATCTTTTAAATCTTTTGAATCTTTTGAATCTTTTAAATCTTTTAAATCTTTTAAATATTTCCTCTTACAATTAGATTTCATTTTTCTGTTCATTTACTCAAAATACTCGAATTTTCTTCCCGAGAACTGTCTTTTCTTTTCTTTTCTTTTTTTCTTTTCCTTTTCTTTTTTCCTTTTTTCAATGTGCAACTCTGTGCAAACATTTACCGTTTTTCACTCAGTCAATTGTTTTTTTCTGTATTCGTTCTTCTCGGCAACTTCTTTTCAAATCTCTTCATACTTTTCATTTGAAATAGAAAAGTTTTTCGGAAGGTTTTCTAAATTTTTGATCAAAAGCATCAAAAGCATCACCCCGTAAACACTCAGAAAACTAAAATAGGATCTTAAATGAGATCCAGCTTAGAGTTGAGCCAATTTTCTTTACCATGAAACCTCTCAATCAAGAACAATTCTCTGCATTTCATTATCTTTTTGTCTGTTTTTTTTTTGTTCATACAATTCATACAATTCATTTCTTCTAGATTCGCAATCAAATTACAATCAAATGCAATCAAAGTGCAATCAAATTTCAATCAAATTTCAATCAAATTTCAATCAAATCCTCTTGCAATCAAATTACAATCAAATCCAATCAAATCCAATCAAATGCAATCAAATTGCAATCAAATTGCAATCAAATTTCAATCAAATTACAATCAAATCCAATCAAATCCAATCAAATCCAATCAAATCCAATCAAATCAAATTTTCAAACGCTTTTTAGTTCTCATCTAACTTTTTAAGTAACAATGTGGAATATAGATTATTCTATAAAATCGAATTATTTCTCATTTCTGAAAATTCATCAAATCCCATTAATTTTCCTTCTCTTTTCTCCCCGTTTGTTAAACGAATTTCCCTGTATCTTTCTTACCTTCTTACCCATTTACTTTTGATCAGTTTAATGTTTAAATATGATTTAGATATTCAATTATTATTCAATTATTAGATATTAAGCGTTTAGATCTTCCAAATGTTATCAAATACTCAGTGGATATATCTAGAGATTTTTCTGCTTTGTCTATTGAATCAAGTCTCAGCAATTGTCGATTGTACACATGGATTTGTCGGCAGAATGCAAGTGAGTGAAAAAGATAAATGTTTTTCTTTTCTGCTTAAGTCTTATCTTAAGCAAAAATCCTAAAGGATAGTGATTTGAGTTAACTTTTGTTAAACAGTAAAGCTTTGTTGAATAGTAAAGCTTTGTTTAACAGTAAAGCTTTGTTAAACAGTAAAGCTTTGTTGAATAGTAAAGCTTTGTTTAACAGTAAAGCTTTGTTAAACAGTAAAGCTTTGTTTAACAGTAAAGCTTTGTTAAACAGTAAAGCTTTGTTTAACAGTAAAGCTTTGTTGAATAGTAAGGCTTTGTTAAACAGTAAAGCTTTGTTAAACAATAAAGCTTTGTTAAAGAGTAAAGCTTTGTTAAACACATTTTGTCCATATCTTTCGAAATCATTCGATCATCTATCTACCACTCATCCTCCAATCCAATCTTTTATTATCTATCATTTTCATCTTTAAACTCGTAACTAGAATATAGAATAAGTCTTAGTTCATAGAATAAGTCTAGGGTTTGATTTTTTTGTTATAAACTTACTTTCCAGGCCTCGCTATCCGACGATTACATTCATATAAATGACACGCGGATGTGTGCGGCCGATTGGTGTATTCAAGTGGTCATTCATGGAGCATATGATGATGGTGAGTGGGGGGAAAGATAGAGGAAAAAGGAAATAGATAAAAGAATGAAGAGATCATTGTTTCCAGATAACACCTTTCAACAGGGCGTCTCGTCGAGGTGCGGCTACACGGGCGGTGATCGATCGGTGAGGGTTTTGACGAAGCTTTCCGTATCAACTATTTATAAACCCCAATATTTCAGATTTGCCAACGCTCGCAAAGCTGTACACAAATCAGTTTCTACGACGGAATGAAGGGAAATGTGAGTTCTGATATCGGATAAGGAAACTGGTTAATTCGATCGGAAGTAGAAAATTGGAAAGATGATAGCTTTCCAAATGAATCACAATTAGAAATCGACTCCTCCACCAGGCAGAATTGATCTTCAACTTCTCGTTAAGCCGATAACCGATAAATTAAACCGATAAACTTTGTTTTCAGTTCTCATTTTGTTGTTGCCGTGAAACGGAATGCAATCGTCCGACGGCTCATCTCATCGACGAGATTTACGGGAGTTCGACAAGGAAAAAGACCCGTTCGAGTCACTCATTCTCTTTGAATTTCCTTCAATCAACTTTTCTATTCATTACATTCATATTTTTAAAAGATTTAGTTCATTTTTATTGAAAATGTTACCATTGAAAATTTCCTCTCTCTAAATGGTGCCTCGGTGTTTTTTTTGCTCTTTTTCTGAAAGCCATTTCTTTGTATGCAAAAAGTAAATGATCAATTCGAGAATTCACAAAGAATTTCTCTATACAACAGACAATTTTGATTAATATAGATAAATCTGTACAGCCAATATTAGAGTCAATAGCTTCAAAAGCCATAAAGACGTCCCTGATCAACGAGTACTGTAACCATTGAGCCCTAACATCCCTAACATCCCTAACATCCCTAAATTTAACACCTTTAATCTGAAAGAGATTCGGAGAACGAGACTTTCGGGGTAAAAGTGTGTAACAGAGGATCGATTTCCATTCTAATAGTTATACTTGGTTGAGAGATACTTGGTTGTTTATGAACACTACAGTAGTTATGCTAAGGTGTTCATTCGAAGAGTAGCGATACCATATTTATCAGATTGATTCAGGATCAGTTCATCTTAAATAAGCACAGTATTTCTGCTCCAATGATGTGCGGGAAAGGGTTTGTTGATCGGATACGGTAGCAAACCAGGGAAACCTTTGCTCAAGTTATTACTAAGCTATTACTAAAGCAATTACTATTACTGTTAGTAAGTTGAGAACTAAGAGTTGAGAACTAAGAGTTGAGAACTAACTGTTGGGAACTAACAGTTGAGAACTAAGCGTTGAGAACTAAGCGTTGAGAACTAAGAGTTGAGAACTAAGAGTTGAGAGCTGACAGTTGAGGGCTAACAGTAGAGTACTGACTGTCTCACTACTGTTGGGAACTCCCTTACTCATTATTTATTTTTATTAGCAATTTTTCTTCAAAGAAACTTTAGATTGCTAAAAATAAAAAGTGTTAAATCTTTAATCTTTAATATTAGGTATTTTAAAAGAAATTTTGGCTTGATATGATGCAAATTCGCAAATAAATTCTTATTTATCTTAGACGGGAAAGTGAAAGAAAATGGTGAGACGAATTTTTCTGTAAATTTGGCTACTCCTAACTGGCTACTCCTAACTGGCTACTCCTAACTGGCTACTCCTAACTGGCTACTCCTAACTGGCTACTCCTAACTGGCTACCTAACTGGCTACTCTAACTGGCTACCCTAAGGCTACTAACTGGCTACTCCTAACTGGCTACTCCTAACTGGCTACTCCTAACTGGCTACTCCTAACTGGCTACTCCTAACTGGCTACTCCTAACTGACTACTCCTAACTGGCTACTCCTAACTGGCTACTCCTAATGTTCTATTTTCTTTCCCGAAATTTTGTTTTTGTTGTTTATGTAGAAGTGTTTGTGTTGTGTGTTTTGGAAATTGTTTTTGTAGAGGAAAAGGGACAAATCGAAAATCGATCTCTGTTAATTTTGAAAATTTGCCTTTTCGCCATATGAAATTTCTCAAAAACAAGGGTTTTTTTTAAAAAAAACTTGATAATTTTATAGATTATAGATAAAAAGAAAGAGCTTTTCAATAAAAGAAATAGTTTTTTTTGGTTGTAAAAGGTCGATTCATCGTTTCTAAAACGATCAATGTAGATAGCATATCAACACATAGTACTCAAATATATGACTGCGTCCAGGTGCGCAAAAAAAAGGTCGCATTTGTCCCTTCCCCAAATCTGCGCACTTCCTTTCTTATTACTACCGTATTTTCTCTAATAGTAGTGCACCAAAAGCTTTGCCTAAATTCCTCGAAATCTCGAGAACCGCTTATTAGAACCTATCGATGTGGGGTCGGGAAATGTAGCTGACGATCAGATCTTGTGGGGGATTTGAGTGTTGAGCTTCTGGGGAAAATTGGAAACTGTAAAATAGTGATCAACTCGGCTCGCCGCGATGCACTACTATTAGAGAAAATACGGTAATTAAATTCAGTCAAATAAAGTCCTATAACCAGTACTAATCCAAGTCCTAATCCATCAGCTCACCGGGAAATATTAGGGAAATAGATCAGTCTGATCTACTAGCCTAACCTGGAATAATATACCGTCTTCTCTCTAATAGTAGTGCACCCTGAGCGTCGCCTAAATTCCTCGAAATCTCGAGAACCGCTTATTAGAACCTATCGATGTGGGGTCGGGAAATGTAGCTGACGATCAGATCTTGTGGGGGATTTGAATCTTGAGCTTCTGCAAAAGCTTGGAAACCGTAAAATAGTGATCAACTCGGCTCGCCGCGGTGCACTACTATTAGAGAAAATACGGTACTCAAATATATGACTGACAATAGGCACAACGTTTTTGGTTTCTGCTCTAATGAGGTGTCTGACAATGAGGAGAATGGGGAAGGGTGCTTGATCGACACATCGAACAAGCTTGAATGAATGAAAGAATGAATGAAAGAAGAGTAGAGTTTTCACATCTCACAAATCTCAAAGAGACTTTTCGATCCAAGCATTTCTTATCGTTTTCCCCTCCATTCGAACAAAATCTCTGATCAAAAAGTCCGTTGATTTCCTTTAGTGATTGAGCGAATTGGAAGATCTTTGCTTATTTTGAAATTCTCTTGATTAATGGCTCAATTTCATTCTTTTTTCTTTTCTTTTTTTTCTTTTTTTCGAGTGCACGTGACCGCATGACTTTAAATGAAAATTGAACATCAAAGGGAAACATTTCTTTGTAAACATTTTCTCCTTTTTTAGGGAAAATGTGAAATTTTTGCGTTATTTCATTTAGATTTTCGAGTAAATAGGTTTTGGCAATGGAGTGACAAGAGATTGAACATCAAAGGGGTAATGCTTGAGGAATTCAGTCGATAAATAGGTTTGACAATCTTTGACAAGTCGAGATTGAACATCAAGGGGATAATGCTTGAGGAATTCGATCAAGGAATCAATCGATAAAGGAATCAATCGATAAAGGAATCAATCGATCAAGGAATCGATCGATTAAGGAATCAATCAATAAAGGAATCAATCGATCAAGGAATCAATCAATAAAGGAATCAATCGATCAAGGAATCAATCAATAAAGGAATCAATCGATCAAGGAATCGATCGATTAAGGACTCAATCGATAAATGAATCAATCGATAAAGGAATCAATCAATCAAGGAATCAATCGATTAAGTTTTAGGTATAGAAAGTGAGTTTATCTGTTGATAACAGTATTTCATACTACTTTCATACATTCATCTACAGAAATGAAAATTAAAAATCAAAAGAGTCTTGTCAATAAAACCAAAGATTATCTCCTTTGATTGATCATGAGAAAATCTTGAGTTCGATCTCTTCATCGACCAAAATTCGATGAAGAGATTTGTTGATTTCAAAGTTGTTCATGAGAACAAAAAAAGCTTGATATAGAAAAATGAAAGGAAAAGAAAAGAAAGAAAGAAATGAAATGAAATGACACGTGTGATGCACATGTGTGAATGATATTTGATAGAGTGAATGGAAGGGGGGGAAGGCTGAAGGGTTGATCAGCTCTGAAAGCTCCCCTTTCCCCCAACCAACCTTCTCATTCCATCATGTCTATAAATTTGTCACATTTATCATTTACGGAACTATTTCTAGATATTTCAATAGATTTTCTAACATTTCAATGAAGTGAAAAGTTAGAAAATGTCGAGCTGGGAAAAGTTAGAGCGTGGTTCGCTGATGGTTTCCCGTGCTCATATACTTTTAGCTAGATACTAAGAAGCTGGCATGGCTGGCATGGCTGATTGGCCTAAGAGTCCTGTTTGTTAGTCAGGTGTTCAAGGGTTCAATTCCGCTAGCCGGTTATAAGTTCTTTTTCCATACATTTTCCCTGCTTTTATCTTGTTTCTACCACATTATTCATGTAAATAAATCTATTTTTTAAATCGATCAATAGAATTTCTGTGAGCTGTAGAGTTGTAGCTTATTGTAGAATTTCTGTGAGCTTTAGAGCTGTAGCTTATTTCTCCATCCTAAAAGATCAAGCTTTCAGTATCATCTTTACATATTTCAAGAGTTTCTATTTGATAGAATCCTGAAGACAGGATTAAGGCTGTTCTAAACGAATTTCTTTGCAAGGTTAGCAAGGATTGACTCTTAAACACAAAGGATCTTTTTTGCTTATTTAAAGCTTAAATTCTAAGTGTTGATTCGATTAAATTACTCAAGTTCTCTTTTATCTTTTCTTTTTTACCTTTTTTTATTTTCTTTATCTTCTTTATCTTCCAAATTTTGCTCGTTGTTTTCCTTCAAATTCCTATTGTTTATCTAAAAAAATGTTTATCCAAAATGACATCATTCCCAAAAAGGAAACTCTTAAAATCACAAAATGTAAATGTAAATAAAGTATTTAGTTTGAAAAGAAAAAGATTTTTTTTCTTTTTTTGAAATGAAAAAGATTCTTTTTCTTTTTTATTTTATATTTCTATCGGTCAGGTGTCGGCCGTGGGAATCGATTTTTTTTTTCGGCACTCAATGGGATTTTTGAGGAGAAAAGGGAACTGGGAAAGGAAAAAAAAGAGAAAAGGAAAAGAAAAGAAAAGCTGAAACTCATTTTCGTTTTTCTTTTTCTTTTTTTTTTCATTTTCCCTCTTCAGCACACTCAAAATTCTATCATTCGGAAAGTTCTTTTTTTCAAAAAATTTCGAGACTTTACTTATTACGTCGGCTTTCGTCTATGACTAAAGATTGGGTTGTTTGTGACGTCAAATCGGATATTTTGGGGAGATTCTTTCGAAATTTTTCAGTTTCCTTGGCAAGAGAAAAGTTTTTTGTAAAGCGGGTAAATTACATTTATGCAATAGGCTCTTATTTTGCAATAGGCTTTCCTTGCTATATAAGATGAGCAATGTTGATAAATACTTTTGCAAACCTCTTCCAGTGCACTTAATCCTTCAGTTTCCAATCGCCAAAACAGTTGCTTCTTCTACTTTATACTCTCAAAATTGTAAACACATCGCTTATGCGGCACTGAATACTTCATTTTGTCGGGACAGCGATTGGAAACTGAGGGATTGAGTGCACTGTGGAAGAGGTGTGTTTGCAATGTTAGATGGAATGAGTTTATAACTTCTGAGAGCTCAAAGTACACGACAGAGATCATTGTCAAAAATCTATTACTACTTTCCATCTTTTACTTCATGTTATCTTTTTTTTTTTCGATTGTTTCTTTGCAAATCAATATTTGAGGATTTTTGATAAGCGATTGCCTTGATTTTTTTTTTGCCATTTCCTTCTCTGAACCCGATCAATTCATTTACAAAACATTTCTCTTTCTTCTCTTTTTTTTCTCTTCTTCTCTTTCTTCTCTCGCAAAATATTTGAAGAATCTCTCAGTCGATCGTAAATTTTGTGAAGACTTTGACCTATTGAAAATGGAGGAATTATGGGTGTACTTTTTGCTTAAAAATCAGAAACACATCCAATCTAGCATACCCTTTTCATTTAGTAGATTTGGTTATATTCTGGTATTGAAATTTCTTTCCATTATTTCTTTCTATATTTGATTTAAAGTGATTCTATGCTGTAAAATGATGTTTAGATTATTTCAAGGCTA